GCTGTAGTTTGAGGCAGGAGCCAAAGTCGGCCAGACGGATGTGCCCACACCGGTCCAGCAAAATGTTATCTGGTTTGATGTCCCTGTGTGCAGACAGAAGGAGGTACTTGAAAGATTGTGCTCTTGGGTCCCACCAGGCTCGCTCCAGTTCCCCCCAGCAGGGATTCTACACCTCTAGACCCCATTCCTGCCCCCAATGGGATCTGACCTCAAGGTACCCTTCCTTCCCACACAAACTCTGCTAACCCTCCAAGGGCCCTGCCACGCCCACCTGTGCACGTAGCCCAGCCGGTGCACCGAGTCTATGGCCATGACAATCTCGGCCAGGTAGAAGCGCGCCATCTCGGCGGGGATCCGCTCCCCAAACTTGCTCAGCAGCGTTAGCAGGTCCCCGCCCACGTAGTATTCCATGACCAGGTACTGGGAGCAGGCGTGTCACAGGGAGTTGGTTGCCCCCAAGACTCCCTGAGACACCCCGTCCCCAAGTATAGAGCCCTCCACTGTGAAAGAGTGCCCCAGAAATCCGAACGAAGGCCAAACCAGTCATCAACTCTTTTATCAAGAAAGGTCCCTCTTCTTCCTGAGACATATTCCTAACCCGCCCCCGGCCTACGGCTGCTCTCCCTACTTCAGCTTTCTTGACTTGAGGTGGTGTATCTGTCACTCCTTCCTGGTCACCGGGGCCCGGAGCTCACCAGGTAGTTCTCATCCTGGAAGGCAAAGTGCAGCTGCGTGATCCAGCGCCGGTCCCCTTTCACCAATACATCCCTTTCTTCCCGGAAGCACGACACCTGTGAGGCGGGAGCGATGCTGCAGAAGGTGAGCTGGAGAGATAAGGGCGCCTCCCCCAGCCCTGGTCCTCACCTCGCCTCTCTTCAACATGTCCCACTTATTCATAATCTTCATGGCATACACCTGGCCTGTCTGTTTCATCTTCACCACCGCTACCTAAATGTGGAACCGAGATGACAGTAGAGGTGGCAGGGAAAACAGCAAGGCTCACCCAGATAGGTCTCCACCCTTATCTCCACCCAGATTTAGCCACGCCCCCACGCACAACACTCACTGCCCCCCAAGCCCCGCCTCCACCCCAGCCTCAGGTTCAAGCTCATTCATCAATTTTTAAGGCTATGCCCCACCCACCTCAAGTAAAGTTCCACTCTCAGGTCACTCAAGACTCACCTCACTGAATGCCCCTCGCCCGATCACCTTCAGAATCTCAAAGTCATCCCTCTGCAGTCGGACCTCCTTAAGCCTTGCTGCAATGGGATCCACTGGGTGGGGGTGGAGGGAGGAAGAGCCAAAGGTCACCAGAACACTAGAGGCAAGGGTGGTACCCTCAGTCTCCTCTTCCCTCTGCACCTTAGGTTGATTTTAGGGTTCTGCTTTCAAAACCTCTGTGATGTTTGGGGGCCTAGATTTGTTTCCACAGGACTGTAGGGCCAAAAGGGAGGCAGAGGGAGGGAAAAGAGGGGGAAGCCCAAACCCATGTAGGGTGCTCAGTCAGGTCCCCTGAAATTCTCATTTAATGTCTTGCACCATGGCCTCAAAAGGCAGTGGTGTTTAGCACAGGCAGCATGAGGACTGCACTTGGGAAACTTTAGTAGAGCCTGGAGTGGGGGAGGGCACAGCCCACCAGCATCTTAGACACTGCTAGCAGCATTCCTGGTCTCCAAAGAGGGTAAGAGAGCCTTCTTACAGCCAAAGTTCCAGGAGATAAGGTCCTGCTTCAATAGGAGAAGAAGGCAGCCAGGTCAGAGGGGCAGAGAGAGATCAGGCCTCCCTTGGGAAGTGGTCAGGACTGAGAGTAAGGATGGAGGAGGAAAGAGTGTAGGAAAGAGGGAGACAGTGGGTCATGGAGAAGAGAGGGGCTTGGGTTAAGTGGGCCGCCAGAGAAGACACAGCCAGGGCCAAGGCTGATGGGGGGTTGGGAGGAGAGAGCCAAGGCATTGAGCCCTTTTAAGGCAGCGGGAACCCAGGCCCCCTCCCCCGCCCAGGCCTGGCAGGGGAGGGGAGGGGCCCACGGGATGCTGCTCGGGCCACAAAAGGACTGCTCCTTCTCAGTGGGCCAGACCCCCACCCCCACTCCTGTTCTCAGTTTACCTCCTATCAGCCCAGCCCCATCCTCTGCAAAAGGGAGGCTGAAGGAGTCCCTGAGGGCTGCAGAGAAAAAAAATCTTCCACAGGCTTAGTGGCCTAGCCCATGACCTCCACCTTTCCATCTATAAATGGGGGAGGGGAATGAGCTGGGGTCACAGACATGGGCATACAGGACAACGACCAAGAACAGGACCCTTAACGATGGGCATAGAGCAACAAAATAACGTCATTTGTAAGGAAGCTGGCATAAGCCTGTACTCTGGCTGGATGTGGAGCAGGGGCAGATAAGGCCCTAGGTCTCAGAAGACCTTTGCAGAACGGCATTTAAGTTGTGAGGGGAACTAGAGGCCTTGAGCTGGAACCATGAAAGCAGGCGGAAAGCCAAATGGGATCCCCCGTCTGGGCAGTCCTGTCCAGGAGGGTCCAAGACACACTCTGAAGCTGAAAGTGTTCCTCCTTAATTTGGGGGACATAAAGGATGCTGGGTGGTGCCTGTCTGCCGGGCTGGTTCTCCTCCAGGGCCTTTGTGAGTCACTGTGCCCTCACAGCTCCTGGACACCTGTCAGGGCAGCTGGGGAGGCAGATGCCAAACACCTGCCTACGGGCCGCACCCTGGCAGCTGCCCCACGCTCTCCCTCCCCACACTCTGGGAAACCAGGGAGGGCTGTAAAGCTTATTTTGAAGGGTGAGGGTCCTATAAGAGAAAGCTACCAGGTCCCTTTGTGGGTGCAGAGAAGGCAGCAGGTTGTGCCCACCCCAGCCTGCACTGGCTGAGTCATGGCTGGCCTCCACTGACCCTAGTCTGCCCCAGCAGGGGAGCTTGGGATCAAGGCCTGAACTCTGCTTGATTCCCAACAGGAAGACCTCTCCAAGCCCTCCTGCCCTCCACAGCCAATCCTGCCCTGTACACCCACATCTGCCTTGCCCCTCCACCCCATGCCTCATGCCCATACTCACCCCACTGCAAGAAGTCGGCCACATACTTGTCCTGGGCTAGGTGGGAGGCGCCCAGCTCCTGGTGGACGCCCAGGAGAAGGTCGAGCAGGGGCTCCAGCCCCAGGAAGCCGGGGTCCAGCACCAGCTGCTGGAGCTGCCTCAGCCGCACCTCGGCTGACATGTTGGGCAGGCAGCACCATGGCCCCTCCCCGGGCCGGAGCTCGGGGTCTTCCTGTCACGGGGCCTGGCTACCCCCGTCCAGGCCCCAGAACCCTGGCTGCATGTCTGCCTGTCCCTGACTATCCCTTGGGTCCCTCTGGCCAGTTCTAAGGCTGAGGCCTCCTCCTCTTTTCCCCACCCCTTGGCCCAGCCCCCCTCCCGCCTCCCAGCTTTAACCCCTCCTAAGCCAACACCCCAACTCCCTTCTTTCAGGGCCCCTCAAAACTCTTTGATGCCCAATGTCAAAGGATAGAGTAGTACTCCACAGATGCCCCCGCAAAGCCTCTACCCACCCACAAAAGGGTAGAGCAGAGGGAGTTACAGGTGTGAGGTGTCAGTGCCCAGAAGTGCCAATCTAAGTTCAGAGTTGGGAAGGGTGGGGAAAGGGCTGATGCCTAGGCCCGTGGGGGGAGGGGGGCAGAGGCCAGGGGCAGCTTCTTCGTGACTCAGCAATGGATTCCGACTTTGGGACAGTTAAATTTAGTTCCTGTGCCTGCTGTATTACACGCCCCCCCTTTTTTGGCAGGAGGTGGAAGGGAATCAGGAGGGAACCTAGCCAGCCACCAGGGCCAGGGGTGACCTGCTGGCCCAAGCCTGGGGGAGGCAAGTGGTGGAGGCAGGCCCTCCCCAAGCGAGAGAGACCCCAAAATAGCTCCCTGGCCACAGGCCGGGGCAGCCACATTCCTGCCCAGGCTAGGATTAGAGACAGAAACATTTTGGGGGTTGGGGGTGGAGCCATTTGGACAGTCAGCCAGGAGACATATTAGTGTCTTTCTAGGGTGGCCAGTCCTCTGGGGAGGAAATCATGGCCTCCAGCAGCTGGCACTTCAAGGGCCAGGGGCACCAGGCTCTGTCTGCAAAGGCATGTCCAGAAGATGAGGCACAGCTCAATTCCCAGCATCCTCCCCTCCTCCCGGAAGAGCATGCTTGGATAGTCCTGACACTTTAAAACAAGTTTCAACGCCTTTGAAGGACCTAGCAGGAAGGGGCCACCTCAGTGTCTTGACTCTGGGGGGTCAGGGGTTCTTCTTCCAGAGGACTCTGCTCAGGGGTAGGGGATGGGGAGGCAGAGTAATTGGCCTTCCTTTGGTCAGAGCACAGGCCCCCAGGCCCCACCCCCAACACATCCCAGGGAACAGAGATAACCCTGTGCCAGGACATGGACAGATACAGACAGGCGTGCGCGCGCGCGCGCGCGCACACACACACACACACACACACACACACACACACACACACACACACGTGCGAGCGCCTCAGAGAACAGAGACGCTGTGCAAACAAAGACTTTAGTATAAATAAGAGGTGGGGGGGGGACAAGGAAGGGCCCTGGGGGCTTCCATAATTTAACACTCTTCAAAAGCACAAACCATAGCAAGGGGTGGGGTGTGGGCTGCCGGGGGACACCCTCCCCCAGCCCTTTCACCCAGGGGCACTGTGGAGTTGGGCTGTTGTGAGTGGAGTTTCCCAGGAGTGACCAGTCACATGCTGAGACAGGGATGTGGGTTAACACTGACACTTCAGAGGACAGGTCATTGTTCTTGGCAGTGGGCAGAAGCCAGGGTTGAGGCACACAGGCCTCTACAGCCCCATGGATGGGCCAGTCTAGGGGAATCCCCAGCATTTGGATAGGGTGGGGCTTGCAGCAGTCCTTCCGTCATGATTAGTCTTGTTAATACAGGGATCCTTGAGGTCAGCAGGGAGGATTATGGCTAGGAGGCTGGGGGCATGGGACATCCACAGCTTCACACCACAGTGCCACTGGGGGAGTTGCCTGGTTGGGAGGAGATGCCCTGGGGAGGATGAAAGGGAGGCTGGATTAGACAACACCTGGGCTTCTGCCAGTGCTGGGGTTGAGGGGGGTACCCAATGGCTTCACAGCTGCTTCTGCCCCAGCTGGGCCCCCTGGCTCCCAGTCCTAAAGCTGCCATCCTGGCTAGGAAGAACAGCTCAGCAGCCTTCCCTGCCCCAGGAGATCCTGGGCAGACAAGACAGGACAGTGGAGAGGAAGGAGAGAGACTGGGGCCCACTTCCAGCTTGGGGATTGGTCCTACCTCTACCACTGACTTGCTGGGTGACCTGGGCCAACTTGCTTCCCCTGTCTGGGCCTCGGTCTCCTCGTCTGTAAACTAGGGAGACAGAGGGGTGTCTTTTAGAGTTCACACTCCCCAAGTCCTACCATCCTGCCTTCGCTGAGGCTGCTCTGACTTTTAAGGCTTCTGAACTCTAACATTCCACAGCAAAGGATCTGAGGGACTGAAGGCAGTGTGGGGTCCCAAATGCTGAGCCCACATGCTAAAGAACCAAGATAGACCAGTGCCAGGTTTTCATTTCACCAACTAAGAGCACAACCACCACACAGCCCATCTGCAAGGCACAGTGACCAGGATCACATACCAAGCACAAGTGCAGACCTGAGCCCCTGTGATTCCCATCCAGGCCTTTAGCTCAGAAATGGAGCATCTAAGAGGCAAGCCAGAAGCCAGGCCCTCGGTTCAATCTCATCCCAACAGTGTCAGCCCCAAAATAAAGTTTCACCATTTAAAAATGCAGATTTCCCATAAAAATAGGTTCTGCCTTGAGTGTAAAGTGCTAAGGGTGGGCCAGATGGGCCATCAGAGGTTCTTTACATGGGGCTGTGGGCCCCACCACTCTGTCTCTTACACCTGACCCCTCTGCTGACTGATGCCTGGCATCTGGGAGGCCCATGACTCAGAGGAGAACAGGATGAGAGGGTCCTGCCCAGGGTGGGTGGACTCACCGCCTTGCCTGGCCGAGCCCAGGTGCAGATGAGGCCCTCCTGGCAGGCAGTGATGATACAGTCCTCTAGGAACAGCAGCACAGTCAGGCGCTCCTGAGCGATCTTCTTGCAAACGAGTGGCTCCAGTAGTGGGACCTCATGAATTCGAGGGCACAGTGCTGTGCCCAGCACCTTGGCTGGGTCCAAGCGGCTACGGGGAGCAGGGCCACTGAGCTTGTCGTTGCTGCTGTTGCCCCCACTGCCCCCACGGCTGATGTTCCCCAGGCTGTGGTAGCGCTTGTGCTCCTTTTCAGCCCCTCGGTCCCGCCGCTCCTGCAGGGTCAGCGTGGCAAAGCGGCCAATGCTGAATGGTGTGCCGGGCTCCATTGCTGCACTAGGCCCACCAGCTTTGCCACCACCAGCTGGGTGTGGGAGGCTGTTGGAGCGCGACAGGGAGCGGGGCAGGGGGCCTGTGCCTGTCTCTCCAGCCAGAGAGCTACCAGAGGCTGGTGGGGTGGCCCCAGGTGTGCCTGGGAGGGTGCGGGTACGGGCCAGAGAGGGATGAGGGGAGAGCACGTCTTCTGTGAGGTCCCACAGGCAGAACTGTGTGTCCTGGCCAGCCGAGCCAAAGCGGTAGGTGATGGAGCCAGCCTTGGGTAGTGGGGACAGTGGGGCTCCTGTGTCTGAGTTGGTGGCTTCAGGCTCTTCCTCCTCACCACTGGGATCCCCATCACCACTGGCCGATGTTGCTTCCTCTGCTCGCGTGGTGTAGGGATCAAAGGCTACAGCATTGACCCAGGACTTGTGGCCATGGCCTCGAGCCACTACACGACCCTCCGTGAAGGACCACACAGTAACCAGGTCATCTTCCCCTCCCGTCACCACATAGCGGCCATCAGGGCTCCAGCACACACACAGCAGACCCCCAAAGTAGCTCTTCATGAGGCCACGAAGAAGCATGCTGTCAAAGTGGAAGACACGCAGGCAGCCATCCTGGCTGACACAGGCTAGGTGTCGGCCATCGGGTGAGAATGCAAACTCGTTGAGGGGCCCCTCACCCACCGCCCACTTGGCCAGTGGATTGCGGGGTGCCTTGCTTTTAGCTGCATAGACAGCAAAGCCCTCACCCTGCTTCAACAGGCTATACTGGGGTGGGGTGGAAGCGCAGGGGTGGCTGACATTGTAGAGGTACAGGTGGCCACTGGCGTGAGACGCGAGGAATAGACTCTCCGACTCAGGCAGCCACTTCAGATATGTCACCTTGGTCTTGTCAATCAGCCGCTGGAAAGGGAATGACAGGTGGGATTGGAGGTGGTGATTACTTCTGATGGACTGTGTCCTATATCCTGAACCCCAGCTCCCCCACTGACTGAGACAGACTGCAGGATATCACAGGGACACAGGGAAGAAAAGTCGCCTGTGAGGCGCTCCATGGTGACTCCACGTCCTGCCTATCAGATTCTCCTCTAGCCACTTAGCTGTTGCTTCTGTCTTCAGCGGCAGCATAAAGATTCCAGAATGCCAGTTTCCCCCAGAAAGGGTCCCAGGTACTAGTCCCAGCAGTTGGCGCAGCATCCAAAGGACACGGCCCAAGCAATGCCCTGCACAAAATGATGGCAGCCTACCCATTCGGCTGCACCTATCAAACCCCTCTAGGCATCTCTCCTTTTCCCAATCAAGTCTTGCTTCCAACAAAAGCTGCAGCTTCTTGCGTAAAGTGTGTCCACCCCACCCACCCAGGTCCCACTGCCACCACCCACAATGTTTCCCTGTTGGCCTCAGACACTCATAGCTGTCTCTTCCTCAGTGGCCTGAGATTAGTAAATTTGAGATGAGTAAATTAGTAAAATTCTAGTGCTGCCCTGTGAGAAGCCCTACAGCTTGGGGCAGGCACTATGATGATCTAACTTCTCTCCTGGGACCAAGTTGCGACCCACTCAGGGCTGAGAAAGTCACCAGCCCTGTGGTTCAGGGACAGAAGGGTATGTGGGGGTCACTTCTCTGGCTCCTATTGATGAGGAGGGCAAGGTTCTTTCCAGGCCAACCCTGGTCAGTACCTCCTGCTTCTTCCCAGAATGCACCTCTGTCTTCTCTCCCTCAACTGCTACCCTGGTCACAAAGTCAATGGTCATTCTGCCTGGGCGAGTTTATCTAAGCTGTTCCTTCTACTCTTGAGCCTAGGCAGACCTTGAACTTTTGGTCCTCCTGCCTCAGCCTCCCAAATAACGGCAATAACAGACCTGTGCTACAAGGCCCGACCCATTCTCTCTATTAAATGTCCTTCCCTGGAGGCCTGCCTCCCTTAGGCTTCACTTCAGTGGCAGCTCCTGGCTGACGGGGCTGCATGCAGGACATCGGATGAATCTGCAGTTTGTCTCCCAGTCTAAAAGTGTGGCTAGGGCAGGCCTTCCATGGCTGGCTGAGCTGTTCCTGGATAGTAGCCTGCACAGGAGGGGACCGCTGTTCTATGAATGGGTGAGTGCATTCTTAATCCACTCAGTGTTGGGCTTCTTTGCTCCCTCCAGTCATTTGCTCATTTGAGAACATTTGTGGACCGCCTGTCCTGGACCAGAGACAGTACAACCAGAGTACAAAGGTCCTCCCTGCCTGCTTGCTAAGGTCATCTCCTGGCATTTCCTTTTAAGCCAAGTTAGTCCAACTGAGCAGTCCTTATGAATGAGTTTCTATAGTCCTATGAGAAGGGGACACAGATCCTACTTTGCAAAAGAAAACTATTTGCTCAGACAACAGATCACTCTCCCCAAACCACATAGCAAGTCAATGATACAGCAGGGACTGACTCCAAAGCCCAAAGAGCTCAGAATTTGAAGTCAGCAAGGACATCAAGAAAGTTCCAACTGCCTATGAGCCTCAGTCTTCCAATCTGTGTGATGGGTACTATACTTTCTTATCTATCCATGGGTGAGACCTTAAGAAGTCTTCTTTCAGCACAGGGCTGGCAAAGTAGAGGACCGGGACATTTTAATAATGGCACCATCAGCAGCTGTCTGTCACTTGCTACCCTCTCCCTCATCCTACCCCCTCAGGCCTATTCTGTTAGAAGGCAGCTTAGTGAATGGGTGGGTAGATAAATAAGAAGGGAGCAGTGCATGTCCTCGATCACCTCTTCATTGAAGAGCTTGCTGGTGTCCTTCTTGATGAGGTCTAGGTACTGCACCTGGCCAGCAGAGAAGCCCACCAACAAGGAAATGGTTTCTGTGGCCGCTGTAAACTGGTTGAAGTCGTGGCAGGTGGGCTGGGTCCCCTTGTAGATCCGCTTGTCGATGGGCTTGTTGAGGTCAATGGACTTGAGCCATGGGAAAAGACGAGTTAGCGGTTAGAGCAGGGAGAGGACAGAAGAGGAAGCTGGGGGGGGGGGAACCACCAAGGGGAAGCAGGGTTAACCTCAAGGGAAGTGGCTGGGTGGGTGGGTGGGGAGGGGCAGGCAACCACAGACTGGAGGGGGCTCAAACCTAGAAGGACAGCACACACATGTTCACTTGCATGCCACCCAATAAAGACAACAGACCCTTACAAGGTATAAATTAGGGACACTGCTGCTCACATCCTCAGGGTTCAGAGTCCCTAAGAGCCTGGAGCTGATTCTCCTCTGGTCTTTCCAGCCGCCACCACCACAGGACAACTCCAGGGGACTCAGAACAAAATTCCAAGACCCAAGGACTCAAAAATTCCAACATCCTAGGTTTTCAATTTTTTGCACATGTAGTATATACCTGTGTACATGTGTATGCATTACTCACGTGGGTGAGAGGTCAGAGGTCAACATTTAGTATCTTTCTCTGTGGTTTTTCAGCTAACATTTGACACAGGTCTCTCACTGAACATGGAACTCACCAGTTCAGTTAGGCTGGCTGCCAGTGAGCCCTGAGGATCCTTCTGCCTCTGCTCCCTAAATTGGGGCTGCAGACATATACTGCTGCACCCTTCTACATGGGGTACCGGGATCCAAACTCCTGTCCTCATGCTTTCAAAGCACGCATTCAATCCACAGAGCCATCTCCAAAGCTTCATTTCTTCCCACTTGGAGTTCCTAAACTTCAGGACCTTCATGGTAGTTCAGACACTCCTCAATCATCACGATGGTCCCTCATTATTTTAGGTACACAATCACCCCTGAACTCTCAGGATCCCCACCTCTCTCTCTTTCCATCACCCTTACACTTTTGGGATTCAATGGCTTTAGAGATGTCTGCCACACCTGGGGATGTCCCCTGCCAGGAACTCCATCAACTCAGAATTCCCATCATTCCTCCAAACTCCTTTCATTTCCTCCAAAGCCTCACTCTCTAGACAACGTATTCTTTAGTATCTCATTCACCTGTTGCTTTGATCGCCGACCCCTAAGCTATACCCCCAGTCCTCCCTGCCTTTTACTTGTAGATTCCTACCTTTATCACTTACAAATGCCTGACACAAGTCTCCAGACTCCCTCCAACACGCCAAGAATGCAGTCATTCCCCATCTCCCTGGGCCTGCATCTTCATTGGATTCCCCATCGCCTGCACAATGTCTGCCCCTCGGAATCCGTAAACCCGCCCCCCAACTCCTCTCAGAAGCTCCAACCCGTCCAGAACGCTCACTCACCACCTCCACGACCCCCCACCACCACGCGAAGATTCGCCTGCAAGCTCTCAGACTCCATTAGCTCCAGGATGCCCAACCCCGGATGCCTTCTGTCACTCCGGGGATGATGCTCTCGGCACCCACGAAGCGGAGCACTCACCCGTTGGCTCCCGCGGCGGCAGCAGCCGGGGTAGAAGTAAAGCTCGCGGCCCAGGTTGAAGCAGACGCGGTCTCCTCCTGCACCCAGTCCCGAGGGCGTGGAGGGCGGCTCCCCGGCGCCATCGGGCTCGCCAAGGCGCACCAGGCTGAGACGGACAGCGGGC